TGCGCGGTCAGCACTGCGATTCCTGGCCGTAATTCGATTGTTAGCCATCGATCCGCTGGTAGAGGTCGGCAGGGGTCAAGTGATGTGGAAGGAAGCATGGCGTCTCTGGACGTGCACCACTCTGGGTACGAGATGGCACTGGGAACGTGCATGAATACACACTTAAAAAGGGCGTTGTCACACAAAACAAGGGCATTATCCCCTTATAATGCCCTTGCGCAAAATAAACTGCCAGTATAATCAACAATAGCATTTTTGTTAGACTTTGGATGATGGCATTTGACTAGACAGGATAACTTTTGATGTTGTGATTGTGTTTTCAAAATACTGGTTGGAAGGTTTGTGTAGGGAATACGAGGGTCAAGTTCGATAATGGGCTTTCTAGCGTTTTTCTTAGGTACTGCAGTGACACGTTGTCGTTTAATACGTTTGTATAGTGGTTTGTCCTGGACAATTCGTTATAGAAGGTCAGACCCTTATCCAACAGACGTTCACTTATCACATACCAGAGGTGTGTGACCACACAAAAGGTCGATTTGCATTGCCGGAACAATCTGCAACGATCTGTATCTATATAGCCGGTATAACTGCCTTTGGCGTAACACACCAGCTTCGCAGGCGCGCGGCGCGGTGGCAGCTGGCTACATTACACCGATCGACTTGTTACACCTAACCCTTGAACATCTAACGCTAGGCACTGTTTAAAGCTATCTAATGACAATGCCCCTACTGTACTTGGTGACAGCGAGTTCCACTCTGCGATAGTTCTTGGAAAGAATGAATTCTTGAACACCTCATTGATAACTCTGGTACTTGAAGGCATGGCTATTTCTTGTTCTCTTCTGGGTTGGTATTAGGTACTTAGTAATTGGGACGTCCAATGTATACGATACGTTGCATAACACATGCCAAACTAAATTACCATAGAAAACCAACATCACACATGACAAACGACGTCTTCGACCTCTAGTTACGTATCAGATAACGTCAGTCCCTCGTTAAAACACTAGACATGACAGAATCAATTCCATTGTAAAATTTCGGTCATTGCCTAGTATGGAATCGATTGACACAGCAAAAGGCACAGTACTTTACGCAAACTGAATCATGAACTAGGCTTATTGCCGACGTCTCAGGGAGGAGCCTAATGGTACAGTATTGTGTGCAAAAATTCTAGGAATTGTACAGGCATTTTGTCCACAGGAATGGAATGTCAGGCATTTCCCTGACCCACATCTATGCCCACATTCCTGGAAACCCTTGGGAAGACCCAGAAGACCTAGACCTCTCTACCTCGGATGTCCTACTTTCTGTGACCCCAGGGCTCGTTCACTATACACTCGGGGGAGGAGTGCACTGTATGGGTCCTGTATCTGTCTTGCTCAAAATCATGAAACGATGGCAGTGCCATGCAAACAATAACCCTAACATGAACCACCGTAGCCATGGCAATGTATGTTTTCATTGCCAGTCTTGTTTTGGTATTATTTACATCTACAGCTCCATTGTTCACGTCCATTCTATCCACAAGTATGCAACTAGATTTTCCCATTCTTGCAGTTTCAAACTACCTAAACCAAAAACAAACAGCAAAAAGCGAACATTTCTCTACCGCGCCATTAATCTATGGAACACCCTGCCACCCAGTATCAAAACACTGACCAGTCTGCATCGATTCATAAAGGCCATCCACCAGTTGTACATAAGTTTAAGTTGTATATATTAAGTTAAGTCATGATCGTTTTGTTTAACCCTTATATAATTTATGATGATTATGCACGTTCATTCTCTTTTAATTTTGCTGTCAGCATGTTCGTATGTTTATATGTTTTGAACCCTGGAAGATTAGTCATTGACTAAGGCCACAGCAAGTAATTCTTATGGATGACATCGGCGCGCGCATTAATTTTCGCCTGATTTTGGAAAAAAAACAAGAAATTTTGTTGCCTTCTGACAATGGTCAACATGCCGAAAATGGGCAAAGATGTCTGTTGCCATGCCGGAAGGTGGATAGCAGATAACTATGACGAGAGGAGACAAGAAAAGGATCTGATTTAATGTTTTGTTTCTTACTTTGATGCAATGATATGTGATGATGGCTGTGTACATGTGATGTTCCCACCGAATAAAAGCCATTCGTGCAATGATTGAGTCAAAATTTTATGATGTAGGAACCTTGTTTTTTTGGCCCACCTTGTTTTTTTTTTCGCCCGCTCGCATTAGATTTGGAGTCTGCAGAGGTTGTCATCCATAAAATTTACTTGCTGTGGTCTAAAGGGTATTGAAATAAACGAAATTATTTACCACCGAATGGATGCTTTTGCTGGTTCGGCTTGAATTTAAATCAAAGCGTTGTTCAATATAATAGCAGAGATAGTGGTCATTCGAGGACACGTTTATAGTCATGATTAATTCAAATGTGAGGACTTCTGGGCTCGGCCTGGGCCAATCGATGTCTCTTCTTCGGGAAATGAAACGACCACGGTATTGGATAATCAATAGCTGTAAAATGAACACAAGGTGACAGAGAACGATTCGGACACCAATCACAGAAGTAAGGCCATGTTGATTTGATTATATGGATGACATCCGCGCGCGCATGAATTTTCGGCCGTTTCCAAAAAAAAAAAGTTTTCAACCATACTGTAAATCGTACAAAACAGTTGCAAAATGAGCAAAAATATACCATAAGTTACAAAAAAAATTAATAAAAACTATACCAATGTCGTAGAATGCCAAAATCAAACGAAAAAAGACGAAATTGTAAAGAAATGAACTTGAAGACTAGATTATTCGCCAAACCATATTCTGTGCCATTTGCTCAACCCTCATGACCACGTAGATTTCATAATGAAAAGAACTTTTTTTTTTGCAAAATTTTTTTTATTCGCACGCGCGCATCAGTTTTGGGGCTCCCGGAGGATTTCATCCATATAATCAAATCAACATGGCCTAATGGAAGTTTCAAGAGTCCACCGGGTCATACATGGATAGTCAGTTTGTTTTGAACCATGGCTGATGTTTTGACTCGTCAAACTGACACTAGTCGTAAGTAAGATGTTATCTGTAAACCAGTAATTTGTTGGCTGTTCATAAAAGCGTGTAATATAATAACAGTAAAAACTTTGGACTAAAGACCACATTAACCGTCCAAAAAGATATTTAGAAAATATCATACTGCATTGTATGGTACAAATTTTGATAGCATGGTAAAAGCAATAAAAGGGGGATAACGTTAGGTAAATTGAATGTGAGACAACATAAAACTATTAAAAGTTACACTCTAAAAACACAACTGGGTCAGCAATACCACATACATGCCTTTACATAGCTCAAGAAAAAAGCACCCTCTACCGATTTTTACTCGATGTGCAGCCCGATAGCTGATGCGCGTACCTTTATCAAGACTGGCGTTGTGATACTTGCACGGCACGAAAAACGGTATTTAATTAGGCATGATTAAATCATTTCTTAACGCTTAAATGTTTAATGTTTCAAGTCTGCCGAAATATTTCTTCATCTTAATGTCTTACACTCTAAAATCAAAAATGGGTCGCGGGTCATTATCTGAAACTGTATCTGTATCTGTATAGCCGGTATAACCGCCTTACGGCGTAACACACCAGCTTCACAGGCACGCGGCGCGGCAGCAGCTGGCTAGATCACGTCGAACGACTTTTACACCTAACCTTTGAACATCTAACTCTAGATATTGTTTAAAGCTATCTAATGACAATGCCCCTACTGTACTTGGTGACAGCGAGTTCCACTCTGCGATAGTTGTAGGAAAGAATGAATTCTTGAACACCTCAATCCTTGGTTGATAACTCTAGTACTTGAAGGCATGGCTATTCATTGTTCTCTTCTGGGCTGGTATTAAGAATTAGGTACTTAGTAACTGGGACGTCCACCAGTAGTCATTTTGTACATCATGCATAGTCTGGGCATTTTTCTCCTGTCTTCCAGTGACACCCACTGTAGGTTATTTTTCATTTCCGTGACACTATAGCTAGCACCACTTTCATAGTTGTTCATACAGAATCTTGCAGCTTGATTCTATATGCCCTTTCCAGTTTATCTTTGTCTCTCTTTGTATATGGATCCCATACTGTCGCGGCATATTCTAGGTTAGGTCTTACAAGTGGCGTGTATGCAAGTCACTTTACTCTAGTTGGGCATGCCCACAGATTACGTTTGATCACTCCCAATGTCTGTTTAGCCGTAGTTGTGATATTACGAACATGTTCACCCCACTTCAGACCGCTTCTCAATGTGACGCCCGGATACGGATGGGTTTTTGTGGTGGCTAAAGTAGTGTTCGTTTGATATGTGCATGATGTAGCATTTTTCGGGATTAAACTACATAAGCCGTTTGCGAGTGTTCAGATGATACACAGATTGACTCATAACTTCTGCAAAAAGATCTGATTCAGATCTTTTTGCAGAAGTTGAAGTCAATCTGTGTATACAGCTTTACATACAAAAGACAGTCATCGGCAAATAGCCTCACATTGATTGAGTCAAGTTGATCTGGTAGGTCATTTATATACAAGAGAAAGGGCAACGGTCCCAAGACGGTTCCTTGAGGAACCCCAGACGCTACTTTAACTGGAGCCGACGCCTTCCCAGCAACCACTACTGTTTGCTCCCTGTTAGTCAGGAAAGCCTTTAAACAATTCAGCGTAGGGCCTTGGATTCCATAGTACTCCAGTTTTGAGATGAACCTGCCATGGGCGACTTTGACAAAAGCTTTAGTGAAATCAAGTATTGCCAGATTTACCTGCCGTTCACTGTTCGTTGCGCCAGCTATGTCATGGACTGTTATTATTAGCTGTGTTTCTGTGGATCGTCCGGCTCTGAATCCATGCTGAGCTGATCGTCCGGCTCTGAATCCATGGATTCATTGATTTCACTAAAGCTTTTGGGTACCTCTGGCCATATATTTCATTTGTTAAACGAGAAGAGTTCACTGAAAACAAATAATTATAAGCAACCAACGCTTTCAATTATTTTCCAAAGTTTATTGGGTGGGGATCGATAATTGGTATCATCTCCAATTGTTTTACCCTGTTTTGATTAGAACTTCTTGGTGGTGGGGGCAGGGTGCTGAGCCTTGTAGTGATCCAACGCCTTCTGAGCGATCTCCCTTCCGGCTTGGGTCATGTCGAACATGGTGAGCGGGTTGTCCAGCTGGAAGGTGTAGGTCTCCCCGAACAGTGTGACGATGACCGTGGTGCTGGTGTAACCACCAGCATTCGCGTCAAGGGAACTTCCGTCAACCAGCACCTGGAGGAGTGGGAGGGGGGGGCAGCATGTTTTCTTCTATTCCACTAAGTTTTTCTATTGTTTAAGGTTATAACTTTTGTTCCAACACAAAAAATTCCCTAACCTAGAGCTTTCGACCAGTCACTCTGGTCTTCTTCGGTAGACTGACCAAGTGAAGCTTGACATCGTCTACCAGATACCTTTGACCCAGTGTTGACGTCACACTTCAAAGAAGCCACGTGACAAGCTTCACTGGGTCAGTCTACTCATGAAGAAGACCAGAGTGACTGGTCAAGGTGAGATGAACTTTCATAGTGTAAGTTTTTCTATTCCTACATTATCACAACACATGGCGGCGGCACACTCAAGTTGTTTCATTTTTATGGCGCCACCTACGCAGACATACGTACTGACAACAAACATGCTCATTTTAACTTACGTGGGGTAATTTATGTTAAGTGCCTTTCCCAAGGGCAAGATCGGTGGCATGGTGGCAGGGTTGTAACCCAGGACCTCTCTATCGTTACGCCACACGACCCCACATGTTTATTTGTATATTCGGACACTTTTGTTTTCTAAAGACCAGGTCACATAAACCCTTGTCACACAATCACGAATTTGGCCTCCTGAACACTAACCGAACGCCCACCAATTTAGGAGTAGATCGGGATCAAGGTCGGCTGGTGTTTGGCCATGTCGGCTGCTGTTCGGCTACACCAGTCGAAATGAATTTGGGTGTGGACAGGAGGTTCGGTCATGGTTGCCTGGTGGTTGCAATTGGTTGGTGCTCGGAAGTAGGTAGGGGCGTGGTTGGCAGTCAAATCTGACTCAAATGTCAATTCGAAAAGGAAGGTATACGAGCTAGGCGTGGCGTAAATCCGGTCAGACTGCTCCCGAACTTCAGCCAACCTTGGACGGCTAGTGGTCGGGGAAGTCGGGCTAGTGGTTCTAAATGTGTGACATCAAGTTATGGCGAGTACCCATACGACAACCACTGCCATGCATGGCCAGCTTCAGTAAATGAGCAGCAAATAAAAGCATACGTCGAAGGCGAAGTTACCTGGTTGATGACGTAGTTCTGGTTCTGTGGAGGTATGGTGGTTACCCAGTAGTAGTCCTGTAGGGCGTTTTGGTAGTGAGACAGGGCAGTCTGGTACTCGGTACAGTCTGGTAACAGAAACACAGTGACATGACATACGGATATACGATTACTTGTACTGTAACTCCACTCACGTTGCCTCACTAGTACAGACGTACACTGTTGCTCTACCCACTGTGTCAAAATTGTGCAGTCTACTAACGCTGTACGTCTATCCACTTTGTGTGTCTCACTAGTACAGACTTACACTGTTGCTAGTATGCTCCACCCACCTTTTGCTCCAAGGACGGACTACTTATTACACTCTTGCTCCAATCACTATGGTTGCCACTAGTATGGACTTCTTACACTCTTGTTCCACCCGTTTTTTTGTCGGGACCATGTGCGGACTACTTCTACTGTAGCTTCACCCATTGTGTGTGTCCCTATAGTACGGACAACTTCCACTGTTGTGCCACTGACTATGTGCGTCACTAGTGCGGGCTACTTACACTGTAGCTCCACCCAATTTGTGTGACACAACTACACTGTTGTTCCACTGATTGTGTGCCACTAGTACGGACTACTTACACTCTTGCTCCAGCCACTTTGTGTCGCAGATGTTGCCGCAGGTCGACGCGTACATGAGACAGGCGTTGCCACCCTCGTTCTGGAGCTGATCACAAGTTGGTGCAGAGCGCACCTGGCGCTTGACGTGGTACTGCAGAATGGCATTCCTCACCTGCTGACGACCTGTAAAGATACCACAGTCCAAAAATGTAAGTGTATCATATCCCTATTATACCAAATTTTCGGATTCCCACGTGCGCCAAACCTAAACGTGCCCAAGCACGTCTATCCATCTCGACAGCACAGTGTCGAAAGTATGGCAATATTCATATACATGCATGCATTAAACCTAAATTTCTGAAACATTGTCCTTTAACCAGGTGAAGAAAGCAAACTTACCGAAAAGACCGCCAAGCAGGTCCCCGAAGCCCTGAATAGCGCCTCCGATTCCGTCGACGATACCGCCGACGACACCACCGACGACAGATTCGCCAAGGTCTCCGAGTCCGCCCAGGATATCACCGCCCACGTCTACCACCGCCTCGCCAAATGAACCGGCAATGTCCTTTGGTATGACGTTAAGTTGTAAATTAGTTCAATGGCCGTTAAGCATACAGATGATGTCTTTGATACCAACTTAAATATGCAAATTAGACATTGATCTGCATAATATATGTTCCTTCATTATGTAAAGCATCAACTACGCTACTTATATAGAAAAAATACGCCGATTCGTCGACTGGTTCTTCAGTTATCTTCGATCAACGGTTTTCAAACAAACGCCCAAGCTTATGTTACTTCTTCTAGAACAAAAAACGCTATCTGTCGTTCAAAATTCCTGGCCCTAACATGTTCTTGACCCTAACATGTTCAAACCCAGCGGTTTTGACTTCTGCAGGTTTTGCAGAAGTCAAAGCTTCTGCAGTACCACAAAAACTCGTTAGGAGACCAAAATCATTTTGAGGTCTTATCAAGACTTACCGACTTATACATCCATAGCCTCTTGAGTTATCGCTTCTTGAGTTATGCGTTGATTTTCACATTGCTGTACAATTCCTAGATTATTGTTGCTAACTGGATGCATAATGTACTAAAGGGATCCGCCCCTGAGGCGTCGCCAAAGATAACAGGTAGAATGCAACAGTACATCGTCGTACCGTAATGCCGTCCCAGATGCCCGTACCAGCCTGCACGGCGCTGTCGGCAACCTCCCCGAACACGTTAACGACCGAGCCCAATGTGTCCAGGACGTCTGTTCCCACGTCTACGAAGAGGGTGCCAACTTCATCGAGGTGGAAGACATCGTTCACGAGGCCAGGCAGGCCATCAACGTTGAAGGCGGTGAGGAGCTGGTCGACTTGGAGGGAAAAGAAATTGTCCACCTGAAACAACGTCAGCACGGATTTGATGTCAGCATGTCAACAAACAGAAGTTTAGGCTTCGACTTGACTTACTTTTGGCATGTTTTATGCGAATTATGGGGGCTTTCTTTTTTTGTAATGTTATCTCTGCCTTTCAAATGGATACTACCTGGTCAATGTGATACTGTCTTGCAGCGCCCAAATGATTTACTTGGAGACTATGTAAAGAGACATCCAGTACACTTGAAGAACATTGCATTCGTCTGGTTTCTGTATTTCGTCACCTAAATATAACCAGTAGCTATGACTAAGATCGATCTCTTTACTTGTTTCTTGAGCTTGAGCCGAAAAAAAGTGGAATAAACCACTGGAATATCATATGATACAACTATTAACAATCAACATAACAAAGAAGCCATAAATGTAAACCTTGGTGGTCTGTGAATTACACTACAAAACGCGTAACGTCTATACCGTCTATATGTCACACCCACCTGCTGAAGGAGGAAAGCCCACAGACCAGGACTGCAGCTGTCGGCCTTGTCCTGACAGTTGGTCTCTATACAGACCTTACAGTCGCCTTGAAGGTAAATCTCGATGGTAGCGGCGCATGCAGCCTGCGTCTCGTTCACCTAGACGTTTAACACAGACACCGCGAGGAGAGAAGTTAAAAACTATTCACCGTACCGTCTCACAGGACAAAGTCAGAATACTGGACAGTGGAGACTGAGCACAGCACAGCACAAGTCACGTATCTGTAACTCTCGCAGGGATTACATACGTTCAGAAGTGATTGGGTCATTAATAATTAAGAGAAAATGTCTGTAAGGATTAAACAATGGTGGCAGAGGTAAAAAAAAATTAATTTGGCTCATATTTTGCATAATGATAGTACTTGGCCCACAATCCCTCAAAATAGCTTTCTTTCCGGTCAAAAGCGATTGTTGCCATGGTAACGGGCCAAATACGTTTTTTGGCCATTTCCGCTGAAGAAAGCGTTGAAAGTCTAGACGTGTTTTAGGGTTGTCAAGAAACATAATTTTTGCCCAACTTTGAAGTGCTGTAAGTCCAAAGATGGTGATTTTTATGGTTTGAGGTTTGCCATATGAACATCATAACACCTGCTATAGAAAAGCAAACAGTTGCTCATTTTATCCCATTTTTTTCTATAATGTTCAAGCGTTTGTTCATAATTCAGTCCTAAACTTTAGGAATTTTCATGTTTTTGACATGCCCAAATCAGCGGAAATGGCCAAAAAACTTCTTTGGTCCGTTACCATGGCAACAATCGCTTTGGACCGGGAAGAAAGCTATTTTGAGGGGTTGTGGGCCAAGTAATATCACTGTGCAAAATATGAGCCAGATTTAGTTTTTGACCCTTGCCAACATTGATCCTTACAGACATTTGCTCTTAATATCCTAAAGAAGGCGACAGTGGTCAATGAGAGCAATGTGTGTACAGTAATTAACCACCAATTACGTTTATGATCCTGTTATTCTCATCTTCAAGGGACTATGCCACATCCGCATTTGAACTGTATTTTCAGTGAGGTAGTCAGCGTAGATACCTTTGAGATGCAGAAATGCAGCTCTTTACCTTTGAGCTTTTGAAAACCGTCCAAGTTCTAAATAAAACTAGAATAGACTCAACGAGGAAGAAGAACTCTTGATGAGAAGGACGAGAAGGTTCTATACTTAAGGCCATGTTGATTTGATTAAATGGATGACATCCGCGCGCTCATGAATGAAATTTCGTCCGTTTTTGACCATACTGTAAATCGTACAGAGCAGCTGCAACAAGAGCAGATTCATGTCATACCCTGTGTGTTAAGTCATTTTTCAACCTTCATGACCACGTAGATTTCATGATGAATGCATAATCTTTTGCTAAACATTTTTTAATCACACGCTTGCATAAGGTTTGGGGTTCCCGGGTCATCCATAAAATCAAATCAACACGGCCTAATGCATGTGTACTCAACAACATTCTTACATTTAATTTTTATGTAATTACTTAAGTTAGTAGATGCCATACTTTGTACCCTGTACAAATGTTGCGCAATAAAGTTATTATTATAATCATTAAAGCTCTACATCCATTGGTTGACGTCTCTTACCTCCTTTGCGAATTGAACGAGCGAATTTCCAGCGCTCATGATTTCATCTTGAAGGAGGGGGAGGCCAGCGTCTCGAAGTTCTGTGGGAAGACAGAAGACATTTTTGCAAGACATCTTTCAGGCGAATATACCTTACAGCACGCTAAGACTGACTGCATCTAGTAGTAGAAAATGATATAGTTTTAGATTCCCAAATTTAGACAAATTTTTAAAAAGAGGTGTTTCAAACTTTGCTTTTTCGTTTCCATCTCTGGTACTTTTTACTCACTAATGCAGGCACAGTTTGGCAATCCGGACCAGACACGATGCCAACATATATTAAAATAGAGTGTTTTTAAGTTGCCAGAAAGCCATGCCAAAACATTATGTAAAGATCAAATTATAAACATTAACGTCATTACACAAATGCGCATTAAATATACAATATGCATTAAGGCATTCAAAAGCAATTTTAAGGCGAATAAAACAAAATATATACTCGGTGAGAAAATCTGTATTTGCCATTACGTAGTACGTTTTCGTCATCATTTCATACTTCATACATTTATTAATTGAAACATTTGAAATGGCCCCAAAACAAGCTAAAGAGGAGTCCCATTTTGGGTACCGCCCATAAATAGCTAGAACCAGCTTACGATACAAAATAAGCAACCGTTTTCCGTCAGCGACATCGCATTTTTGCCACACAGACACCAGTACTCTATGGGGTAGGCTTGATCCAACTTACTACATTGAAAGAATGATCAGAAAATTGACTTTTAAAAATCGCCGTCCTGAGATTGCATTGAACGCCTTTAAAACTGCCGATCGTGGGGAGTACTCACGCGCGATGTTGGAGGCCGGCAGCACGATGAGCCCGGCCTGCCTGCGGACGGAGGGAACTCCGAACACCGAGCACACCAACAGGGTCAGAGCCAGGAGCTTAAACATCGTGCGCGAAGATGGAGGTGGTCGAACGTTACAGCAGCACTATGTTATATAGCGTGGGTGGTGTCAAAGGTGAGAATGTGGTATTTACGTTAGGGGAGGAACAAACGAACGAAAGCCTTGAAACTTTCGCTGGTAAGTTAGTTGATTGATAACCTTTGATAACCTCTGTCTAGTTAGCGGGGGTATATTCCGGTATGGAACATCGATATCGCCACCTGTCTCCATACCAGTAGTCACAATCATCGATGTATACTCATAATACTCTATGTAGTACAGGAGCTAATACCTCTTAAAGAGGCATAGAAATGTGAATTTGCGTGGTACTCATTTTACAGAAAAGGTTTGACCTTATATTTCCTGTATCTGTAGGTCTGCCGGTATAACCGCCTTTTGGCGTAACACACCAGCTTCGCAGGCACGCGGCGCGGTGGCAGCTGGCTACATTACACCAATCTACTTGTTACACCTAACCCTTGAACATCTAAGTCTATACATTGTTTAGAGCTATCTAATGAAAATGCCCCTACCATACTTGGTGACAGTGATTTCCACTCTGCGATAGTTCTAGGAAAGAATGAATTCTTGAACTCCTCAATCCTTGGTTGATAACTCTGCATCTGGTACTTGAAGGAATGGCTAGTTCTTGGTCTCTTCTGGGCTGGTATTAGATACTTAGTAATTGGGACGTCCACCAGTTTATAAGTCATTTTGTACATCATGCATAGTCTGGACATTTTTCTTCTGTCTTCCAGTGACACCCACCTTAGTACAATTTACTTTTCATTTCCTTGACACTAGCACCTCTTTCATAGCTGTTCATTCAGAATCTTGCAGCTCCTTTCCAGTTAATCTTTGTCTTTCTTTGTATATGGATTCCATACTGTTGCGGCATATTCTAGGCTAGGTTCGGTCTTACAATTACAAGTGACGTGTATGCAAGTGATTTTACTCTAGTTCGGCATGCCCACAGATTACGTTTGATCACTCCCAATGTCTGTTTAGCATTAGTTGTGATATTAATAACACATGCACCCCACTTCAGACCGCTTATTAACGTGACGCCCAGACACGGATGGGTTTTTGTTATTGCTAGAGCCTGACCCCAATTTGGTAGCTAGTTGCATGTGGTGTTCGTTTGTTTATTATGTGCATAACGTAGCAGATTAAACTGCATGAGCCATTTGCTTTGCCATTCTTCCAGAGTGTTCAGTTCCTTTTGCAGAAGTTGTGAGTCGGTCTGTGTAGACAGTTCTACATACAACAGTCTTTGGTAAATAACCTCACATTTGAGTCAAGCTGGTCTGGTAGGTCATTTATATACAAGAGGAAGAGCAATTGTCCCAGGACGGTTCCTTGAGGGACCCCAGACGCTACTTAGCTGGAGTCGACGCCTTCCTTTCAACCACTTCTGTTTGCTCCCTGTTGGTTAGGAAAACCTTTAACCATTTCAGCGTAGGGCCTTGGATTCCATAATACTTCAGTTTTGAGATGAGCCTGCCATGAGGGACTTTGTCAAAAGCTTTAGTGAAATCAAGTATTGATAAATCTACCTGACGTTTACTGTTCAATACGCCAGCTATGTCATGGACTGTTAGTATAAGCTGTGTTTCTGTGGATTTAATTGTCAGTAATTTGACTGACAATATGGCCTTTTTTTTAATCTGACGTATTCCGTTTGACATTTCTGACATTGACGTCAAGTTAGTTTCTGCACCACTCTGTATCAGTACCTTGTACTCTTGTCATATCTATAATGTAAACAACAGTGTACCAACTGACCGATACTCAATGTGAACACTCAAGGTGAATAAACATCCTCGGCCCGATAGAGGACGCCCCCATGTTCCGACCCCCCCACACAGGGTTAGGGTTCTTTTGACCATATGGCAGCAGCAAGTTAATTTTATGGATAACGTGCCCCTGCTGACGTTTTTTTATACAATATTGTGTGTGTGTGTGTGTGTGTGTGTGTGTGTGTGTGTGTGTGTGTGTGTGTGTGTCCCGTAGGACAAGGGTTTTAACTTCATCATGGAATGTATATTGCACCAACACAGATGAGCTTTCATGGTAATATCTGAGAGTACCTCTGGCCATATATTTCATATGTGAAACGACAAGAGAATGGTTCACTGAAAACAAGTAATCATAAGCAACCAACGATTTCAATTATTCTTCAAAATTTATTGGTGTTGGGGATTGATACTTGGTATCATCTCCCATTGTTTTACGATATTTTGATTAGAACTTCTTGGTGGTGGGGGCAGGGTGCTGAGCCTTGTACTGATCCACCGCCTTCTGTGCGATCTCCCGGCCGGCCTGGGTCATGTCGAACATGGTGAGCGGGCCGTCCAGCGGGAAGGTGTAGGTCTCCCCGAACAGCGTGACCGTGACCGTGGTGCTGGTGTACCCGCCAACATTCCCGTCATAGGAACTTCCGTCAACCAGAACCTGGAGGAGTGGGAGGGGGGCAGTATGTTTCTTTTTCTATTTCTAAGTTATCACAACACATGATAACGGCACACTCAAGTTTCAACTTATTTTTATGCTGCCTACACAGAAAAAAAGCACGGACAACATACATACTCATTTTGAGTAAAGTGTCACTTGAGTTAAGTGGGGAAATTCATGTCACTTGCCTTTTCTAAGAGCAACAAGATCGGTGGCATGGCAGGGTTTGAACCTAGCTGGGACCTCTTGGTTGCGATGCTAACAGTATACCGTTACGCAACACGTCCCCACATATTGATTTGTATGTTCGGACACTTTTGTTTACTAAAGCCCAGGGCACATACAATCACGAATTTAAATTGGCCTCCAGAAAACTATAACCGAACGCCCGCCAACCATGGTTAGGAGTAAGGCGGGAGCAAGGTCGGCTGGTGTTTTGCGAGGTCGGCTGCTGTAGGGCTGCACCAGCCGAATGTTATTGTTTAAAACATTTGGGTGTGGACAGGCGGTTCGGCCATGGTTGCTTGGTGGTTGCTTTTGGTTGGTGCTCGGGAGTAGGTCGGCGCGTGGTTGGCAGTCAAAGATGACTCTAATGTCAATTCGATTCGAAAAGGAAGGTAGGCGTGGACAGAATGCTCCCGAAGTTCAGCCAACCTTGGTCGGCTAGTGTTCGTGGGAAGGTCCTGAATGTGTGACATTATGTTATGGCGAGTACCCCTGCGATAACCACTACCATGTATGGCTAACTTCAGTAAATGAGCAGCAAAGCATACGTCGAAGGCGAAGTTACCTGGTTGATGACGTAGTTCTGGTTCTGTGGAGGCATGGTGGTTACCCAGTAGTGGTCCTGTAGGGCGTTTTGGTAGTTTGTCAGGGCAAGCTGGTACGCGGTACAGTCTGGAAACAGAAAGCACAGTGACTTGACATTAAAACCACACCTTTAAAATTTATGATTATTATAAATGGCTGTGTCTATTACGAATCACGTACACTCTTATATATTGTGTGCAATGATCACTAGTATGCATCCTACGTATACGTCAATTGTAGTTTACACCCACTTTATGTCACTAGTGAGGACTACTTACACTGATAACGTTGGTTCACTGAGTATGTGTGTGAGTTGTGCGGTCTACTTACACTGTAGCTCCACCCACACTTTTTCACTAGTACGGACTTAATAATCTCCCAGAAGATCTTTCTTTGGGGGGACGACAGTGTCAAATTGTCCAGTCTGTAACCATTTCGGTGGAGAAATGGTTACAGACTGGCCAATTTGACACTGTCTTCACCCCCCCCCCCCATCGAAAGATCTACCGGGAGATCAGTACGGACTACTTATACTGCAGCTCCACCCACATTGTGTGTCACAAGGACGGACTACTTATTACACTCTTGCTCCAGTCACTACGGGTTGTCACTTGTACGGAATACATACACTGTTGGTCCACTGACTGTGTACCACTAGTACGGACTACTTACACTATTGTTCCACTGACTGTGTGCCACTAGTACGGACTAACTTACACTGTTGTTCCACTGACTGTGTGCCACTAGTACGGACTACTTACACTCTTGCTCCAGCCACTTCGTGTCACAGATGTTGCCGCAGGTCGATGCGTACATGAGACAGGCGTTGCCACCCTCGTTCTGGAGCTGATCACAAGTTGGTGCAGCGCGCACCTGGCGCTTGACGTGGTACTGCAGAATGGCATTCCTCACCTGCTGACGACCTGTAAAGATACCACAGTCCAAAAATGTAAGTATATCATATCCCTATTAAACCCAATTTCCGGATTCCCACACGTGTCAAACACCAACATACCCAAGCACGTCTATCTATCTCCACAGCACAGTGTCGAAAGTATGGCCCATACATGTATGCATTAAACCTAAATTTCTGAAACACTGCACTTAACCAGATGCATGAGAACGCCAGAAAGCAAACTTACCGAAAAGGCCGCCAAAAAGGTCTCCCAGGCCCTGAATAGCGCCTCCGATGGTGCCGAGGGCACCGTCGATGAGAGCTCCGCCAACGTCTCCGATTCCGCCCAGGATACTACCGCCCACGCCTAACACCGCCTCGCCAAGCGAACCGGCTACGTCCTTCGGTATGACGTAAAGTTGTAGATTAGTTCAATGACTAATAACTCAGATGATGTCTATGTCACCACCGCAAGTATGCAAATTAGATCCCGATCTGCATAATTGCCATCCAATTATGTCAAGATTCACTTAAAGTACCTACATAACAAAACTCACGACCATCAGTCAACCGGTTCTTCATTTATCCTCGATCAAAGAACAAGCGCCGTTGCATTTCGAGAACAAGATGCTAGGGTGCCCAGTCTTGTGCCTTTTGTTCTAGCTTACAAAAGCTATCTACCGCTTAAAATTCGTGACCCTAATATGTTCAAATCACGAGATATCAAAACCGCTACAGTACCATAACAAGCCGCGAGGCCCAAAAATCTTATCAAGACCTACTTACGTTCCACGTTTCATGATAGATCATCCATAAAGTCTTGAGTTATCGCTTCTTGAGTCATGCGCGGACTCTCACATGCTTGAACAATTCCTAGAATTTTTGCAAACTGGACGCATAATAAAAGGACCCGCCCCTGAGGCGTCGCCAAAGAAGAACAGGCAGAATGCAACAGACAACACATCGTCGTACCGTAACGCCGTCCCAGATGCCCGTGCCAACCTGCCAGGTGGTGCCGGCAACCTCCCCGAACACGTTAGCGACCGTGCCCATGGTGCCCAGGATGTCAGCTCCCGTGTCTAAGAAGAGGGTGCCAACTTCATCGAGATGGAAGGCATCGACCACGAGGTCAGATAGGCCAGCGGCCACGTCGAAGGCCCCGAGGAGCTGGTCGACTTGGGAGGCGAAGAAATTGTCCACCTGGAACAACGTCAGCATGGAGGTGATGTCATCATTACATAGTTGTTTATATGCAATATTATTTGCCATAGATTGTACCTGTTGCAATCGTTGCGCAATAAACTTTGACTTGACTTGTCTAAGCAATGTAAATACTCTCCAAGCAGAGATTTTGGCTTCAGCTAATTTTTGGCGTATTTTAGGCGTTTTTATCGCGCTTTCCTTTTTTTATACTCGACTTTTTGTGGCATATTGTAACGTTAACTGCCTGGCAAGTGGGTACTGCCTGTCTGTTATACTGTTATATTGAACAATTTTATTACATTTCGTTGTGATACGATTCCATGACGACTAATGATATATATATATATATATATATATATATATATATATATATATATATATATATGTGTGTGTGTGTGTGTGTGTGTGTGTATTCACTAATGGAGATCTCAATAAACCAAATCAAACCAAAGCTATCGAAAGATCAGCTGCTTGGAGATTATGGAAAGAGATCTCCAGTACAAAAATTTCTGTTTTGTGCAAAATGTGTGTTTTTTACCATGTTATCTGTTGTATGTGTGCTTTTATTTTGAATAAACCCTGGAAGATCAGCCTTTTGGGCTAAAAGGCATCGAAATATAAAGAGAATACTCACCTGTTGAAGGAGGAAAGCCCACAGACCAGGACTGCAGCTCTCGGCCTTGTCCTGACACTTGGTCTCTATACAGGCCTTACAGGCGCCTTGAAGGGAAGTCTCGATGGTAGTGGCACATGCAGCCTGCGTCTCGTTCACCTAGATGTTTACATACATACATTAGCAGCCTATCAGCCGGGCTCTATATGCCATCACATACAACTCTCCAGTTCTCTCTATCTAACATTACATTTCCTAAGTATTCGAGTTCTATGCCAGTGTCTCTAGTTAAGGTATAGGTAAAAGTCAGACTTCTTCAGTGTACTCGACCTGTTGGCTTCCAGAGAAGGGCAGAAGAAACGATTTCCTGCTTAGCTCGATAACAGTGAGACTCGATAACATTGAGACAGCCTCGGAAGACACCCATATATTATTTGAATAGTAGCATGTTGTGTCCATGATATATTTTGGGCAATCATGGGCAAAGACTACTGCGGGTATTCACATGCTCTACAGCACCTCGAACTGACAACACTTGCCTCTAGGCGCGTGAACAGATAACTCTGAAATTTGCTAGGTCCTTGCTAGGCTCTGAGTTCAGGGACTGGCTTCAACCACCTAGGGCTCAGATCACAGGAAGAGTGACACGCAACAACCACAAATTGAACTGTCCGAAAGCCAGAACGAACCGTTACTTGAACTCTTTGATGCAGATGCCTTCGTCAGCGCAGATTTCCTTGCCTTTTCCTTGAGCTTTTGGAACCCGTTCATATATTCAAGTTGTAGATAAAACAAAGAATAGACTCACACAGGAAGAGAAATTATTACTTGAGGCCATGTCGATCTGATTGTGTGGATGACATCCGCGCGCGCATGAATTTTCGTCTGTTTAAAAAAAGTTTTCGACCATACTGTTTCGACCATAAGTTTTCGATCAGCTGCGAAATGAACGAGCAACTATGTGCCGAATGGAAAAATGGAAAGCGATACGAATGTCGTAGAATACACAATCAATTTCAAAGGAAGTGAAAAAATTTTAGTCATTTGTTCAACCCTCACACTCACAACCACGTAGATTTCATAATGAAGGCAACCTTTTTTTGCCAACCTTTTTTTTTTATTTGCAGGCTCGCATCAGTTTTGGGGTTCCCAGGGCTTGTCATCCATATAATCAAATCAACATGGCCTATTACACGCCACTTAACAACGTTTTATATTAACCATAAGTGAAAAGTCTCTTACCTCTTTTGCGAAATGAACGAGGGAGTTTCCAGCGGTCATGATTTCATCTTGAAGGAGGGGGAGGCCTGCGTCTCGAAGTACTGTGGGAAGACAGAAGACATTTTTGCAAGACATCTTTCAGGCGAATATGCAGCACACCCCGCTGAGATAAACAGATCGCATCTAGCAGTAGAAAAAAATGTAGTTTTTTTTTTCCTTTTTTTTAAATTCTTTCACATAAAAAATACAGCAATTGAACCGTCTAGGTAATAATACAATACTAACGGAAAATAATACAGAACATAGAAATAATAATAATCAATTATTTCTATATGTAGAGACATTTGATTATAATCATGACGCTAAAACAATGTACTTTTAGATTCCCAAACCTAAACAAAGCTTGAAAAAAGATGTTCAAAGTTTGCCTGTTCGTTTTCATCTCTGGTACGTTTCACTCTCTAAAACGGTTTAAGAATCCAGACCAGACCGTGACGATGCCAACATAACAATAGAGTGTTTTTAGTTGCCAGAAAGCCATGCTCTCTCTCTCTCTCTCTCTCTCTCTATATATATATATATATATATACTATGTTGAGATCAAATTATAAAAATTAACATTAAACAAACGGCCATAAAATGCACAATATGCGTTAAGGCATTGAAATGCTATTTTAAAAGTGGCAAAACAAAAACATTCTGGATGAGAAAATCTGTCTGATATTTTGTAGCACATTTTCGTCATCATTTCATACTTGAGGCATTTGAAATGGTCCCAAAACAAGCTACGTGAGGAGTCCCTTTTTGGGTACCGCCCATAAAAAGCTACAACCAGCTTTCGATACAAAACAAGCAACCTTTTTTTCCGTCGGCGACATCGCATTTTTGCCACACTGACATCAGTACGCTATGAGACAGGATTGATCCAACTTACTACATTAAACGAATGATCAGAAAATTGACTTGTAAAAATCCAGCTTCGCCGCCTTAAAATTGCATTGGATATCAAATTGGCTAGTCTGTGTCCATTTGCCCACCGAAGGGCAAATGGACACAGGACGGCCAATTTGATACTGTCTTACCCCCCACCGAAAGATCTGATTGGCAATTAAGTACCCCCTACAAACGGCACCGTTTCAAAGGCATCCAATGCAATGTTAGGGCGTCGAAGCTGGATTTTTAAAAGTCAATTTTCTGATTTGCTTCAAGATATATTAGGGGGTACTCACTCCCGATGTTGGAGTCCGGCAGCGAGATGGGCCCGGCCTGCCTGCGGACGGAGGGAACTCCGAACACCGAGCACACCAACAGGGTCAGAGCCAGGAGCTTAAACATCGTGCGTGAAAATGGAGGTGGTCGGACGTTACAGCAGCGCTATGTTATATAGCGTGGCTGGTGTCAAAGGTGAGAATGTGGTATTTACGTTAGGGGAGGAACAAACGAACGAAAGCCTTGAAACTTTCGCTGGTAAGTTAGTTGATTGATAACCTTTGATAACCTCTGGCTAGTTAGCGGGTGGTATATTCCGGTCTACCGCACGCCTTTATATGGAACATCGATATCGCCACACCTGTCCCCATATCAGTAGTCACAAGCACCGATATTCCCACAGCACTCCCTGTAGTACAGGTGCCAATGCCTAAAAGAGGCATAGAAATGTGATTTCGTGGCACCCATTTTACAGAAAAGGTTTCTGTATCTGTATAGCCGGTATAACCGGATTTCGGCGTAACACACCAGCTTTGCAGGCACGCGGCGCGGCGGCAGCTGGCTACATTACACCGATCGACTTGTTACACATAACCTTTGAACATCTAATCTAGACTTTTTTAAAGCTATCTAATGACAATGTCCCTACTGTACTTGGTGACAGCGAGTTCCACTCTGCGATACTAGTTCTTCTAGGAAAGAAGGAATTCTAGAACACCTCAATCCTTGGTTGATAACTCTGGTAATTCAAGGCATGGCTATTTCTTGTTCTCTTCTGGGCTGGTATTGGGTACTTAGTAATTGGGAAGTCCACCAGTTTATTAGTCCTTTTTTACATCATGCATAGTCTGGACATTTTTCTTCTGTCTTCCAGTGACACCCACTTTAGTTTATTTTTCATTTCCGTGACACTAGCACTTCTTTCATAGTTGCTCATACAGAATCTTGCAGCTTGATTCTGTACTCTTTCCAGTTTATCTTTGTCTTTCTTTGTATATGGATCCCATACTGGCTCGGCACATTCTAGGCTCGGTCTTACAAGTGACGTGTATGCAAGTGATTTTACTCTAGTTGGGCATGCCCACAGATTACGTTTAATCACTTCCAATGTCTGTTTCGCCTTAGTTGTGATATTAATAGTGATCTCAATGTGACGCCCAGATACGGATGGGTTTTTGTGGTTGCTAAAACCTGACCACAAAACTGGTAGTTAGTTTCATGTGATGTTCGTCTGTTTGTTATGTGCATAATGTAGCATTTGTCGGGATTAAACTGCATGAGCCATTTGCTTTATTAATTGCCATTCTTACAGAGTGTTCAGGTCTTTTTGCAGAAGTTGTAAGTCGGTCTGTGTAGACAGCTCTGCATACAACAGTCATCGGCAAATAACCTTGCATTTGAGTCAAGCTGATCTGGTAGGTCATTTATGTACAAGAGGAAGAGCAATGGTCCCAGGACCGTTCCTTGAGGGACCCCAGGCGCTACTTTAACTGGAGCCGACGCCTTCCCCTCAACCACTACTGTTTGCTCCCTGCTGGCCAGGAAAGCCTTTAACCATTTCAGCGTAGCTAGGGCCTTGGATTCCATAATACTCCAGTTTTGAGATGAGCCTGCCGTGGGGGACTTTGTCAAAAGCTTTAGTGAAATCAAGTGTTGCTAAATCTACCTGCCATTTACTGTTCAGTGCGCCGGCCATGTAATTGACTGTTAGTATATTAAGCAGTGTTTCTGTTTGACCTTATTTTGTGGTGGAGGGTCTTCTGCCACATCAACCAGTATGATTTTTATGCTCAAATTGTGGTATCACTCCATTCTATCCTGCTGGGTGGCAGAGGCCCCTCCATAAAATAATGCCAAAACTTGTCTGTAAAATGGGTGCCAGAAAATCGCATTTTTTTCAGGCCTAGGCGCCTGAAATATTGGACAAAATCCCACCTTTTAGGACACCTTAAAATATTGCGTAAAAGTACACGTAAATGAAGAAACGGTACCCTTAAGCAAGATTTAATGTGTGCGCAAAGTCAAAGAATTAATTTTTGTATTGGGTTATAAAGCATTTTCACATTTTCAGAGGAACCACCTATATAAGCTATTCGTGCACCATGTATGGTCAGCTTCTTCTGAGCAACAAATGTTAGTTCTTCTTCTCACGTTTCACGTTTGCATAAAGTCTTTAGCTTTGATACCCGAGAAAAAAACACGTGCTTTTTAATTGTGTTTTCAAGTTACAAAGTCTAATGCCCGGGAACAACCAGCATGACTAGACAATTTGACAAATGTTTGAGATTTCTCATAATCTTAAATAAAGTCGTATGACATTTCTGACATTGACGTCACTTTAGATCCTGTATCACTCTGTACCTTGTACCCTTGTCATATCTATATTGTAAACAACAGTGTATCTACTGACCGATACTGAATGTGAACACTCAAGGTGAATAAACATCCCCGTCCCGATTGGGGACGCCCCCAGTTTCCGACCCCCCCCCACAGGGTTAGGGTTCTTTTGAATAAAGACCTACAGTGGCCTCTTCTCTCTGAAAGGAGGAGGAGCGCCCGCCTTACACCATTCTTCAACATAGCCCACATAACTGTCGCAATCAACACTCAAACTGGCAGGGTTTTTTTTGCAGTCCATACGAGTCACTCACTCAAATACCGGCCTATAAACACACACACAGACACCTACAGATTCTCTTTTCCCCCCCGTACTATTCCACAGTGGAACTCCTTGCCCGACCCGGTAGTAATGGCTCCCAATGTTGAGTCGTTCCGGGCTGGGCTGGCGGCCTGCCCGGTTCTCCCGGGGCCCCCCTAACGGCACCCCTCGCGGGGTTATTTGGGGGTGCCTAAGAAGAAGAAGAAGACCATAAGGCCGCAGGAAGTAAATTTTATATAATTATGACATGGCCTCTCCTCCAATGCTGGCCATGCATGCAACAAAAAACGCTTTTAGTCCTCGTTATGTATATTCAACAACAGATGAGTAGGCGTATTTCCAACCTACATACCTTGTGCATTGTGAATGTCGTGTAAGTTCAGCGGGTGTGCGTGTATGATGGCAGATGACGACTTGTGAACTATGCCTGGTCGATTCTGCATGTTACACGTGAGGATAATCATATCCGGAAAGATAAGTTTTAATTTGTGTAAAAAAAACATACATTTCCAACTGTTTCTAACAGCTATGAGCCTATGTCGATAAAAAGTAGATTACGAGTGTTTGGGTAAACTGATAAAAAGTAGATTACGAGTGTTTGGGCAAACTTTGGGGAGCACTCTAGTACCTGTTGCCTGTTACAGACGGTGACTTTCTCCCGTACTTTGGACCAGGTCACCGTTCACGTAGTCATGAGTGCATTAACCCTATCTAGATTTTTTGGGCTTCGTGGGACCGGGGGGGGGGCAAGGGCGAAGGTGTACTAGTAATAATCAATCATATCAACAATGTTGATATCATTATGACGTATTATGTCATATATTATTAATATTAGAAAGCATGTGTAAATTAACATAAAAGCCAGTCAAAATTACTGATTTTTTGCCCAAAATGCCTGTCAGAAACCCGTTGCCATGGCAACACGAAAGACTTAATTTATCTCACTGCTATGAGATTGTTGGCAACAATATTTTAGGAAAAGTCACCAAGTTTGGTGGCCCTAGCACAAGCTGTTCGGACGTTATTCGACATCAAAGTTGGCGCGGACACTTTTACCCCCCCCCCCAGTCTAGATAGGGTTAACCTGGGGTACTTTGTAAACAGTCAAAGCAAGGACGGCAAGGTTGCCAAGGACGCGTCTACATTTACTTTAGCCTAAGGCCATGTTGATCTGGTTAATGGAGGACATCCGCGCGCGCTTGAATTTTCGGCCGTTTCCAAATTAGAAAGTTTTCAACCGGTACCATACTCAAAACAGTTACAAAATGAGCAAATATATACCGTAAGTTGCAAAAAAAATATTGGAAAACGATACCAATATCGTACAATGCCAAAATCGAACAAAAAAAGACGAAAATGTAAAGAAATAAATTTGAAGAGAAGATTATTCGCCAACTCTGTGTCATTTGTTCAACCTTCATGACCACGTAGATTTCATAATGAAATCATTTTTTTTTCCAAAACTTTTTTTCATTCGCATGCTCGCATCAGTTTGGGGGCTCCCAGAGGATGTCACCCATATAATCAAATCAACATGGCATGGCCTTAGCCTTATGTCAATATCATGAATGAATCCTTCTTGCATTTTCCTACCCAAATGGACATGAAGCGATGAAGCTCATTCTAGAACAGACACGTTATTTGACCATTACTGCTCTTTAAGTTGCTGCAACGTAAAATTTGGTATTGCAAAAAAATAAAGAACTAGAAAGGCCAATATTTGCTTTGGAGCAAATACAGCGATGGGTTCACCACATTTTACCACATGGCAGGGAAAGAATGAAAAACACAAGGGAAAACAATGATTTACATTGATATAACTATAATATGAAGTAACATACAACTAAAACAACAGTTGGATAGCTATTCCCTACTTTATTGGTTAGGATTTTTAATTGCATAATGCAAACTGTTGATTTTCAAAAAAAAAAAAACGTTCATGCCCCGCATTCCAATGCTGGAGCAGAAAAGCTTGAAATACCTACCAAAACACTTGAATAAAGACATACTGTCAGTATGGAAATGCTCTGTGCAGGTGTTAATCAAGTTAAATCCCAACAGCCAATCAGCAAGAAATGCTCTGTGCAGGTGGAAATGCTCTGTGCAGGTGTTAATCAAGTTAAATCCCAACAGCCAATCAGCAAGAAGTATAGAGGAAAGCTGCATGCCTATTGGTTGATGCCCTGCATTCCATTGTGATGACTCATGCCCAGACGTGGTGAACACGGCACACTAACACAGTAATACATTTGCTATAACACAGCCAAAAAACTCAAATAAAACCATTCTAAAAGCCTAGTATCACAAAAAATTTTAAAAAAACGCCTAGGGGTATTTTGCCCACTGTACCTCCATACCAAATTTCAGGACCTTAGGCCCTAAAATGAAAGAAGCTGAATCCATTTAAAAAATGGCAGGAGAAGAAGAAGAAGGAGGAGAAGGAGGAGAAGAAACATCAGAAAAAGCAATATGGGTTCACCACCACTTCGTGGTGTGGTGAACCCATA